CCAAAGGCCCTCCTGCCTGGGCTCCGCGCACAGACCACGTGGAGGCCCATCTGTCCCGGTTCTGGATTGAACCGGGACTAAAGGGACATGGCATTAGTACCGACCCTTTAGTCCCGGTTCAGGAACCGAGACAACAGACCCTTTTTCTACTAGTGAGGAGCGGAGACAAGGATTCACCTTGTCTCAACCCTTTGTAAGTTTTGAAATAAGGTCCAATCTTGTCATTGACCTTAACTCCCACATGTCTTCCCGTCATGGTTTGCATAATCCAGTCACAGCATTGATCAGGGAATTTTTTGAGACAAACGGCCACTTGATCTTATCATATACTTTTTCAAAGTCCACCTTAAAAAGAAGAGCATTCTGTTTTTTAGTGTGTATAGTATTTAAAGCTTCATGTAAAATCACCGCACACTCCATAATATATCTCCCTTTCATGAAAGCAATCTGGATAGGAGAGATAATTGGATTGACTATTTTACTAAGCTTGTTCATCAGCATTTTAGTGTTGATTTTAAAACTAACATTTTGCAGATAAATTGGTCTGAATTTTTTTATTTGCTTGGCATCTTTGGTTTTAGGAGAAGAAGTGGCTTCAAAGATATCGGGGTTTCGATTTGTCGACCCAACGGAGGATGTACTAGAGAAAGTTGTAGCAAAGCAGCCCGTAGTTGTCTCTTTGCAAGGTTCCAATGAATTGGAAAATTATAGAGGAGGCATAATGGATTACGGAGCTGTTGAAGGCAGGACCGGGTGGACGCATGCCGTCCTGATTGCTGGTTATGGCACAGATTCAACCAGCGTTGAGTATTGGCATTTCAAGAACTCATGGGGACAGGTTGGGGCGAGGGAGGTTTTGGGAGGATCCGCATGCACATTGACGTTGAGCGAGGTGCGTTGGGTATTTTCATAAAACCAGGAGTACATCCGGTGCTTAAGGACTCACGGATCTTGCATGGTTGGATCTTTTGCGCCAAAAGTAATACCCCCACCTAGTTTCGTATCTTATGATTATTATATTGTTTATTTATATCTGTTTGTACATCTGGTCTATGTTGGACATCTTCCTAGTGAAACTTTATCTTGATATCTAAGTGTTGTTTAAACAAGCAATCTACAAGAGCTCTACCGTTTATATTAAGTAAAAGGTTGAAAGAGAATAGACCTAGTAATAAGAAAAGTTGTCGCAAAACCAATACATGTGCGACATCCACACAGACGTCAGCCCCGAGGTTGCACACTATTCTAGCCGCTAGCTCTGACACTTAAACGACACACCATACAATGTGACGACTGATTTCAGAGCCAACGCTCTGGCTTCTAGGTAGGGGTTCCTTCGGCTTTATGATGTGGACCAGATTCTGATGCTCTCCTTCTCTGGCGATGGTGAAGGTCGTGGATGCTTGGTAGTTGGGGCGAGGACGGTATGCAGCAATACAACCGCTTGCATCATCCTTGTTTTCTGTTGTTTGTATGTGTTCCATCTATATACTCCCTTCTTTCCGGTTTATAAAACTCAATTCAAAAATCTCACAAATCAAGGTAGATGATGAGTGGTGGAATATTTTTTATAGTTTGCAAAAGCACACAATTAATGCTTTTATTTTCCTCAAAAAATTATGTTTACGAATGCATTAATTGCAATGCATGCATACATAAAGTGCATGCATTGGTCAGTTTTCCTATAATACTTGCATGCAATGATTTAATGCATTTTGAGGTCTGAACATGTGATGGGGAACAACCAAATTGAGCCTTATAAAATGAAAAACTAAAATTTTAAGATAAGCCTATAAACCGAAAAGGAGGGAGTATTGTCGCCTACAGGTGTTCATATTAATAAAAAAAGCAGAATGGGCAGAATCCACGAAGCATCAACACACACAGCTACGCGGGCAGTTTACCACCAACCTGTTCTTTCTCCCTTGAGCTTTCCACTCACGTTCTTCTTTCACTTTCCACTTTAATGCTAGTGCGGCTGAAAGGAAGTGCACCGTGTTGAATTTTCCACTCGGCTGAAAGGAGCCACTGAGGATTTATCACATCGCGCGCCATTGAACAACTCCTGCCCCGAACTTCTCTGTGCCCCGGCCCTGCACTTGTCGCACTTTTAATTTCTCCTGTGTCTCCACTCACAAAGTAGCAGCAGCATGGCGGGGCGGCTTGCTGCCGTGCCGGAGGCGGGCACCACCGGCGCCATGGCTCCCTCCCCGCAGCGCAACCTGTACCTCGACTCCATCCGGTGTGTCACTGTGTCAGGAGGGCGGATCGTGTCGATTCCCGTCCACTCCGGACTCAGCTGCTCCGTTGACTCCAGTTCCGCCCCCTCGGATTCTTACGCATCCAAAGTCACGGCTTCCTCGGCCGGTTCGTCGTGCGCCGCCGCAGCAGAACTTGGTGCCCACGAGCTCACCAAGATCGGTCGCCGAATGATCAGCGATGGTTACACCCGGCGTATGGCCTTGGAGTACTCCGGTGGCTCTGATGGTGCGCTGGAGACCCTGTTCTCCGAGCTCGACGTGGACTGGGTTCTCCAAATCCCCGAGGGCCGTGGCTCACGGCGGCAGCTCCAGCTCAACGACTTAGCCGAACGGTGGGTTCGAGCTTTCATCGTAATTCTCACCTGTATTGTAGAGGAGCAGCCATCGTCACCGTCCGCAAGATTTGGCAAAGCGAGCATCAACAAGATGCTCGTCTTCGTCGACGCCGTCGTCTCTCCTCAAGAGGAGAAAACACTGTCACTACGGGACCTGCTAGATATGTATATCTGTGTCTCCAGTGCAGCGTACAATCTTACGGGAACGCTCTCGTTGTCTCCGGGAGTCCAAAACATTTACAGCGAGATAGCCTGCTCGTTATCCAGAGAAGGAGACAAGTTAAACAGAGCCATGTATAGCAGGATGGAGGAGGTGTGGGCACTCATGGAGAACGACGACTCGTGGGCTTTTGAGATTCGACGAGGAGGAGGTAAGGTTCACCCAAACACTCAGTTGATGGTGGATTGCATCCTGTCCATAGTTGAAGCACTGGGCTGGGCAGGGAACTACGCATGGTTCCAGGACACTACAAACCTTCGTCGCCTAATAGATGAAAACGTCCATTATCTCAAGGAATTCCTATTGAGGAAGTCAGTGCTATGCTCTGATCCAACACTGAGGTACCTCTTCCTGCTCAATAATTCCTATTTAGTGGCACAACTGTTTGAGCTACGCCCTGGAGACCACTGGGGACTCACACCTCAATGTGAGAAGTACATGGATGGCTATCTTGATGTCTCTTGGAGACCCGTCTTGTCTCATATACCGCAGATGGCTTTCATGGAGGGCTATCAGGACGTTCCACGGGGACATGTGATGTTCTGCATTCCAAAAACGTTTTTACATACACCGTTCCAACGTCTGATGAAGACCACCTCTCCACTGGCTAAATTTGATTCAGCATTTTGGAAAGCGTACCAGGCTCAGAAGTTCTTGAAGGTTCCAGACCCTTGGCTTCGATCTGTGCTTCGCGAGACTATAACCAAAAGAATCATTTCACGTTACGGCGACTACCTCGCCTATCTGAAGAATCATCCGGAGCTAGAGAAACATGTCAGCCATAGATGCAGCAGTACCAACCAATTGAAGGAGATGCTGGGAGAGCTATTTGAAGGATGAAAACAGTTTGAGGCATAAAACGGAGCCACCTAACATGTTTTAGAGAGTTCATGTTTTATATTGTAGTTGTATTCTTTGTTTGTAAAGTGAAGCTGTATTCTGAATTTCGTACTACCTGAAGCGTCATATACTATCAACTGGCCACAATCTGTGGGTATCTTGTGATTTGATATCTGATTCTACGTCAAACACTATCTCATTCTCCAGGCAAAAAAAACTATCTCATTCTGCCTGCTAATCAACTCACGACAAGTGTATAGCTAATGCAAATGAATTTAAATGCGAAACACGTGAACTAACGGACAAGTTTGGCACGCCCGTAGCAGAACAGAGCACAAATCAAGTGCCACATATAGTGTTGGTTATGATAGCAGCATGCACTAATACCAGTAATAGTATTCCCTCCGTTCCGAATTACTTGTCGCACGGATGGATGTATCTAGATGTATTTTAGTTCTAGATACATCCAATTCAGCGACGAGTAATTTGGAACGGAGGGAGTACTTATCAGCTTTGCGCAGACCCCGAACATCACAGAGCTTCTGATCAAGCATCACTAAAATAAAACATGAAGGAAAATAAAAGAATAATTAAAAAGCCGCAGATGCTTTCAGACCTCTGTTGAAGTCCAATGGTGCATCTCATAGATTCGGTTGGGCGACGAACAGCAAATGGCAACTGGCAAGGTCACAACGCTGATAGCTTTTTTGTAAGAAAGACAGGGTCACAAGATAAGGGATTACGTTGTCAATTCAGTTGTTGAAGGAGTGACTGTTAAACGATAGGCTTGTAGAGAATGTATAGATAGAAATATGTGACAACATATCACGTATGTGTTGTAACGCATACAATATATTTGGTGCGGCATGTTGTTAGCTAAATAGATCTTATCTTGGTATAGCTTGGAGTGGAGGTCAAGTTTAGCAACAACGTGCGCCTTCTTGTAATCTATCATTAAATACATTATGACTGAGCATTTTTCCTGCCCTCCTAGGCCATTAGTATTTTTAACCATTGGATCATCATTTTTAGGCTTCGTTGGCCGTCAGATTTGCTCCTAATGGCACCCAAATCGCGCCTACATACTTCATGACGAGCACTAACCCTGTTGGGCCACTGGGGAAAATATCTGGTACTTCCATCACTAGGGTGCTCCTGGTGCTCCAAACTCGGTAGCACATTTTAAAATATTCGAAAAATCCTAAAAAAAATCCAGCACATTGGCACAACATCAATGTATGTTGTTAAAAAAATTCAAATCAAAATCCAAAACATTGCTCGAGATACAAAAATGACAAAATGTACATCAATGTGATAATGGGCCTAATCTAAAGCCCAACTTATGTTGTGTACTATTTACTGTTGAATTTGTCATTTTTTATGTCAAGCAATGTTTTGAGTTTTCATTTCATATTTTTTGACAACATACATTGATGTTGTGCCAATGTGCTGGATTTTTTAAAGAATTTTTCAAACATTTTAAACTGCGCTACCGAGTTTTGGAGCACCGGAAGTACCCTAAGTGTGGGAGTACCAGATATCCCCTCCCCCCCCCTCCCCGGGCCGAACTTATGTTGTGTACTATTTACTGTTG